ACACACAGACAAACAGACAGACAGACAGACAGACAAACAGACAAACAAACAAACAAACAGACAGACAAACAAACAAACAAACAAACAGACAGACAAACAAACAGACAGACAAACAAACAAACACACAAACAAACAGACAGACAGACAAACAAACGGACAAACAGACAGACAAACAAACAAACAGAAAAACAAACAAACACACAAACAAACAAACAAACAAACAAGCAATCAAACAAACAGACACACAAACAAACAAACACACAAACAAATAAACAAACAGACAGACAGACAGACAAACAAACAGACAGACAGACAGACAGACAGACAGACAGACAGACAGACAGACAGACAGACAGACAGACAGACAGACAGACAGACAGACAGACAGACAGACAGACAGACAGACAGACAGACAGACAGACAGACAGACAGACAGACAGACAGACAGACAGACAGACAGACAGACAGACAGACAGACAGACAGACAGACAGACAGACAGACAGACAGACAGACAGACAGACAGACAGACAGACAGACAACAGACAGACAGAACAAACAAACAGACAGACAGACAGACAGACAAACAAACAGACAAACAGACAGACAGACAGACAAACTGACAGACAGACAAACAAACAAACAAACAGAAAAACAAACAAACACACAAACAAACAAACAAACAAACAGACAGACAGACAGACAAACAAACAGACAGACAGACAGACAGACAGACAAACAGACAAACAAACAGACAAACAAACAAAGAAACAGACAGACAAACAAACAAACAGACAGACAAACAGACAGACAGACAGACAAACAGACAAACAAACAAACAGACAGACAAACAAACACACAGAAAAACAGACAGACAGACAGACAGACAAACAGACAAACAGACAGACAGACAGACAAACAAACAAACAAACAAACAAACAGACAGACAAACAAACAAACAAACAAACAAACAGACAAACAGACAGACAGGCAGACAGACAAACAGACAAACAAACAGACAGACAAACAAACAAACAAACAGACAGACAAACAAACAAACAGACAAACAGACAGACAAACAAACAAACAGACAAACAAACAAACAAACAAGCAAACAAACAAACAAACAGACAAACAGACAGACAAACAATCAAACAGACAAACAGACAGACAGACAGACAAACAAACAAACAAACACACAAACAAATCACCGAACAGAAACCGAACCCATCCAATCTGAACCGAACCGAACCAAACAAGAACAAAACAAACAGCAAATACAACTAGCAACAAACAAAACAAACAAAACAAAACAAAACAAAACAATCCAATCCAATCCGATCCGATCCGATCCGATCCCATCCAATCCAATCCAATCCAATCCATCCATCCAATCAAATCGAATCGAATCAAAATCAAATCAAGCAATCAATCAATCAATCAAACAAACAACTCTCCCCTCCCCCCGTCTGCCGGTCCCCCATCAATGACCCCTTCCCCTTCCCCAACGCCTTCCCTTCCGAGTGCCAGGCTTTGGAAGGTGCCCCCGAAAGGCCCAAAGAGCTCCCCGAGCGACAGCCCGTGGTTCCGCTGGGCCGCCTTGGAACATCCGCGGCTTCTCAAAACTTGCGGGGTTGGGTTGGGTTGGGTTGGGTTGGGTTGGGTTGGGTTGGGTTGGGTTGGGTTGGGTTGGGTTGGGTTGGGTTGGGTTGGGTTGGGTTGGGTTGGGTTGGGTTGGGTTGGGTTGGGTTGGGGGGGAGAGGAGGGCTTTGGGTTGGGTGGGGGGGGGGCCTTGGGCTGGGGTTGGGTTGTGGGGGGGGAGGTTTCCTGGCCACAATTGCTGCTGCGAGGTTGGGAGAGGGGTGGCCAAACTTGATGAGCTTGATGTTGCTTTCCTGCAAACCAAGATGGAGAGGGCCAAACAGAGGGGGCCCTCTTTGTGCAGGGAAACCAGCAAAAAGTCCCTATTTTGAGACGACCCCCATTTTGGTGACCCCTTGACTGGCTTTGATCACAAATAGGTCCCTTCAAAATGCGAAAAGCATATGATTGTCCCCAAAATCTTTGATGCTCGGTCTAGTTGCACTCACTTAGGGAGTAGTTTTCTTTGGCCACTCATGAACACAGTGCACAAACCAACCAAAACCCAATCCGATGGTCTCAAAATCGGGGGCAGAAATTGTCCTTCGGGCTTCCATTCAAACCACCCCCCAAAGCACGCGCAGCGATTCGGTTCCAACGCATCCGCACCTGTTTGGCACCCTCTGTGCCGATGACAACCACCACCGGCTGGAAGACCTGTGGGGTGATTTGTGTCGAGGGGGGCGGGTGGGGGGGAGGCGATAGTGCCATGGCGCCTAAGAGACCATGTTGCAGCCAGAAACCCTAAACAAAAATACCCGGAGTCTCCATGACCCTAAAAAAAGGGGGTCACTTCCCTAAATAATGGGGTCATGGACCTATTTTTAAAGGGTCATGGAGACTCCAGGTACCCAGAAGAAGGACGTGTGGCAAAAAATAGCCAAGCATCCACCATTGGGGAGTGCGTGCTCTTTGTCTTAACCCGAAAAGTGCGACCCTTCCGGCTGAGGTAGTGGGAGCCGGGTCAAACTTTGCAACAATGAATTTTTAACATCCCGGGATTTGCTTGGGCATGCTGGGGCGGAATGCTTTGCTTGTGCAAGTGCCCCGGCTCAACTACACAAGAGGTGTCAGCCCCAGAAATGGGCAACGCTTCCCATTTAGAGGTGAAAGTCGCGGCGGACCATGAAAATATCGCACATGGGGGTTGTGCAAAGCCTTGAACAAAGGGGGTGGCCCTGACGCGGCATCGGCGTGTGTGTTGTTCTTGTCATTTGGGGTTTGATCGAAAGGTCCTTTACATGGGATGGCCAGTAGGGAAACCACCAAAAACGACACTTTCACCACCCTTTTTGCGGCTGAACGGAGTACTGATCAACCCCCATGTGTGAGATGTTCATGGTCTGCTTTTGGGGCTTGGATGTTTTTGGACGCCGCGCCTGTGAACCCCCGCCCAAAAAAAGGCCAGCCCCCGAAAGAAGGTGCTGAGAAAGCGCAAGCTTTGGAATCGAGTCCGACCCAGAGACAATACAGTATCACTTGATCAAGGGATATGGACTCCACACTTTGGGCTGTCCTATGCCCTCCCCAAACCGACAGTAGACACCTCTTTGCGCGCTTGCGTCCTAAGCCGCCCAATTCAGGTGCCAAGAGCGGGGAGAGAAGATCTGGGGTGCAAGTGACACATACTGTGGATGGACGAAATCCTGCACCACCCAAGAAACCCTAGAATGATGATTCTCCTGTAAATACCAACAAACAATTGTTCCCCATGGTTTCCAAGTGGTGCAGGATTTCGTCTATCCACAGTAGGGAAGGCTCCCAGAAAGTCCCTGCAATTTCTTGGTGGTTCGTTAAAGAGCGGAGAAGGGAGTGCAAGTTCGCAGTACCCTCCCATGGGGCCAAAAAAAAACCCTGAGGTCAAAGCCAAGGGGGCGGAAAAACGGGTCCGCCTATACACAGAAAACAAAAAAATACCACGCCAGCCACGTCCAACCACGTCCCTCCACGTCCAATCCGATCCCCAGTGATATGCTCCACTGTTGTGGGTTTGGTTCGCCCCCCGAAGCTCAGCCCCTTGATCTTGGCCGTTGGAATGGGGGGCAAAAATCGTCAAACACTTTAGCAGATTTCGTGGCTGGATCTCAACCACTCAACCACCAGAAGATCCCAAAAATATTTAAAAAAAATGCGTCCAAACCACCACCATGGTGAAAATGGCCAAGACCAACTGCTTCACCCCGGTTAAACCGGGGCCAGAACCTTGGGCCCGGCTCGCTTGAGCTTGCAGCCTCACCCAGGGACCCATGGAGGCCTCCAGCCCCCCGTCCCTCGGTCAAGCCACAAAGCTGGCGGAAAGCTTCCGGGGGTCGGCTTTTTTTTGGGGGGGGAGGTTCGGCTTGACAGGGATCCGGATGCATTATACACCGATCGAACCTTGCAACTTGTAAATGGTCAAATGTCCCTTTAAAGAGGGTGGAAAAAGCCATGTTTCAAATGGTTGCAAAATGTATCTTTTAAGGAGCCCTGCTTAAAAGCAAGCGGAAAAAAAAATCCTCGGGCTGCGGTGTTGTTCTTTGCTTTAGCTGAGGCGCCTACTGAATTCTTGAAGCATGGTTCTAGGATTACGACCATTTTAGTACCGGGTTTTGACTATGACTCAGCTGGAACTCGAACAGAAACCCAGACCCCTTGTAAAGGGGACCCGCCAGTCCTCATGAAGCCACTCCGCATACTTCCGTGGTTCGAACATGGCACCATGGGCCGAGGCTCTGCCGTCGCTGTCTGCCGATTGAATTGCCATACCCAATGGGCACCAAAACCAGAAGCTAGCCTTTTCATGTGCTTATTAGCGGTTGGTTCAAAAACTGCCAGAAAAATAAGCACAAAGCCCCATAGCACTTGCAGGCTTTGTTTACTCCGCTACTTGAGATGCTCAGAGAATCCGCCCTACATGGAAAACAACCCACTCACGCGCTTTGGCCCAAGCCCAACTCTGGTTCCAAACAGGACGCTACCAAACTTGAGCTCCCACTGGACCTTCCTAAAGGGAGCAACACAATCCGCTCCAAACTGGAGCTCCGATCCGAGTTCCTGGGGGCTCCCACATGTCACCCGGTTAGGCCAACTGCTTGAACCACTTCAAGCTGCCGGCTTGGCACCCGGTCCGCAAATGCCAACCGCTGGTTCGGTGGATGTCAGTGGGTCCTCCCCAGAAACCTGGTAGCTAAAACGGCAAAAGGGGGGAGCAGAAGCAAGGGCCAAGCATGCCATGGGTCTCCTCAGACGCTTTTGTGGGTGGGGGTCAACTTTGAAGCTCCAAACGTGTGCACTCGCGAATCCATCGCCCGTTCGATTTTGTTCTGCGCATTCATTTTGCTTATCATGGCTTCAAGCTGGCATTTTGCCAACTCGGCCAATTTCAGTGACAGACGATGTTGTTCAGGTCGTACTTGGCGAAGCCGTCCCGGCGCATGAGGAAGCGCGTGATGAAGACCTCAAAGAAACTCTGCTTGCGCAGCAAAGCCCATGCAGGCCTTAATTAATCCGCAACGACATTGCCACATGTCTGCCCGGTGTTTTTGTTGCGCTCTTACCCTGTTTTGAAGCTTGGTTTGGCGGTTTTTTTCCAAGAAGCCCCGGGCATTTGGCATTTGGACCCCCACCAACCCCGTCAGCCACGACGCGACCGGGTTCGCGCGCCGAATCATCGACTCGCGCCTGCGTCTTCTGCGCGTAGGCCTTGTCTCTCTCCGACATGCTGGGCTTGATGGCCCACGGAACACCTGGCCTCGATTCCGCTGAGCAAACCCCCCAAAAAAAGTGCAGTTAGCTTTTGGTTGAGGCCATCTCGTTGGGTAAAGGGAAACCAACAAAAAATTGGAGGGTCTCTCCCTCAACAAAAGAAGACGACTCAACCAGGGGGTCCAAATCTGGGAGCAAAAACCCCAAACCCTAAACGACCCTTCCCGGCAACTGAACAAACCCGCAATGCGGCGCTGCAGGACACTAGCCGCGTTCCAATTGTTTTTAGTGCCTTCTTAGTTTCTCCTTCTCCCCAAGCTTTGGTGGTGAGCTGTGAGGTGAAACCCGCCTGTCCTTCAGTTTCGCAAAGCAGTTCAAACCCTCGAACCAATCCAAAAGCACCAAGACCTGCTTGGTCTGATGGTAGCCGGGGACCCCAACTTCTTCTTCTCCTTCTCCGGCGATGCCCTCAGAGGGGAAGCGCGCGGGAAATTGATGTTACTTATTTGTATGTTTATACTGCGTTGTTATTTTGTTGTTTTTTTTTTTTTTTTCTGTTCTATGTATTATCATGTTTTGTTGTTCTGCCTTGTTTTCGTTCTTTCTTGTTTGTTTGCATTTGTGTATGTATGTATCTTCTCTTTTTTTTTGGGGGGGGGTGGATGGAATGCATGAAGGGAGGAAACAACATAAGTACGTACGCATCGCACCCACCACCCCCACCCCGAAAGGGAAAACAGGCAGAGAACCACTACCCAAAATCTGTGTGTCAAAAGGATTTTTTTCTATTGAGGTTACGATTGAGTCATGTTCACCTGTTCTTCCAGACTTCTCACAGGTTGAGCATGTTTCAGTGTGCAAAAATGTGTCCTGGGCCCGATCAAAATGCAAATAAGTATCCTATCCCCCCCCCCCCCCATGGCTGGGATGTATCAGCATGGGTTTGGTTGTTGTCTGTTTTGGACCTTTGGTCCAAGGACAAGCGCGGCGTGCGTCCCAATGCTGCCCAACATTCCATTCCTGGCACGAATTCACCAAAACCCCACCATGGCTTGGAATATGTGTGTTCCATTGATGCAGGGAACTGCTGCGCCACATCTGCTAAGGTTGTTGCTTGGTGTGTTTGCGTTTGGATCATTCCCGGCATCTCACTGAGGCGGCCATTGCAACACAACAAAACATCTCACAGGAAGGAAGTGCATCTTTTTACGGACGACCGCAAGAGCCGACATGCAGTACTGGTTCTACAATCTCTTCTGTACCCGTTGATCAGCTGTCCTCCAAACAAACAAACAAGAATGAAACACCTCACCTACATTTCAGACAAGGCAACCCTCTTTTCCAGGAGAAAGGTCTGGCAGGTGTAAGGCGCATGCCTTGCAGTTGCAGCCGGGAGGCTAAATTTGTCTATGTATCTATCCCTAAACCTAGCATGTGTCTACAGTAGAGGCGCTTCTAGCACATGCTTCGTCAGTGCGACGGGACGAAGGTGGGCCGTTCCGTCTGAACGCAAACTCCGTCTGTGGGTCAGGGGCTCCCGGCTTAGTCTCGTTGGAGCTCGGCGCCGCCCTAAGCTCCAAGAAGGAAAACGAGGGCGTCGGATCCACTGTGGAACAAACACGGCAGGGCCACATCCGATCATTCAGAGGACTTCTTCTCAGAAAATCCATTGAGAAGCGCACCAGGGCATGGATTGATGCTAGATTCCGTCTTCTGGGGAAGGAACTGCCCCAACAAACTATCAGCCAAAGCGTGTCTTGGAGAAAGCAGCCGGCTGATGGGTTCAGCAAATGTGGGCAAACTCAACGCCCGCCAGTTTGGTGATCATTCCACAGGGCATGTTGTTCAAGACGACTGTGGTCTTACAACGCCCTCCTTTCGGCTTCAACGACAAAGGGAGCTGGCGGAACCAACACATCAGCGTCTCCTAAGTTAGGCAAAAGAGCTGGGCAGTGGGTTCACCCAAATGAGAACCCTCTTCCCAGATACAAATGACAGCTGGCTGCAGACCCAATGAGCTTCAGAACAATGTCTTGTACAGCAATCCCCTGAGGTCAAAAACCATTCAGCATGGCCAGAGGTTTGCGAGTGTGTTTGAGCCCCAACATTGCTCTCCTCCATTTGAGGTCCCACCATGGAAGATACCCCAAAAAGGCGTTGTAATCTTAGCTTGTGTGAGAGTATGTCCAAACTTTGAACAGCACCAATTTCGAAAGATGAAGCAAGTAGGGAAAGTGGAAAACACTGTGACTTGCTTGCAATGAAGTTGGAATGGCGGGATGCTCTAAGGTTCTTGGATGTTCAACCCACATGGAAAGCAGGTGACAACCATGCTTAGAAGGGAACGAGCCCCGGTTGCCCCAGTTGCCACCATAGTGATGTGTTGTGGTCTCCCTCGACGAAGCTTTTTTTCTTTGGTAGGACACGTTCATTTCTGTGAGGTGGGAACCTTGAAAAACATGGAAGAATGAGTCACTAAAATGGGTCATTACCAAGGACCCGACTCAATGCCCGCATCTTTTAAAAGGACATGGGAATGAATACCAAGTACCCGATGCGATAAAAAGTTTGAAAATTCATGTACACCAACTACTTGTGAGGCGGCTCCCTGGGCCGTATGAAAACATATGAGAACTCACCATCACAGTGACTCCATTCACCTACATGGCCATGAATTTTTTGAGGGGTCTGTAACGCGCGACGCGCCACGAATCTTGCTACGGAGGTCTGTAACGCAGGTCTGTAACGGGAAAACATTTCCTGACAAGCAGTATCAGTAGCACAATGTAGCGCAGCACAACGAGGTATGTTATGGCTATGTAACGAGGTTTGTAACGAGGCAAAGGAAAGCGCAGGACGCAAAGCGCGCCTCCGCAGCTCCAGCTTGATTGCAGCTATTCAACGCAAGCCAAGCTGCGGCAAAAAAAGGGGGTCGCTGGCCCGGGCTGGGGTTGTGTCTGCACCGAGGTATGTAACGGCTATGTAACGAGGTCTGTAACGAGGCAAAGGAAAGCGCAGGACGCAAAGCGCGCCTCCGCAGCTCCAGCTTGATTGCAGCTATTCAACGCAAGCCCAGCTGCGGCAAAAAGAGGGCAGTCACGTCACTGGGTTTGTTCATTTGAGGTGTGTAACGAGGGTGTGTAACGAGGGTGTGTAACCAGGGGTGTGTAACCAGGGGTGTGTAACCAGGGGTGTGTAACGACGAGCCAGCTGGTCTTGTTACAGAGGTCTCTAACGAGGTCTGTAACAAATGTCCGCTGCGGCTCTGTTACAGACCCCTCAAAAAATTCCCTGCCACATAGGCAACCAACAAAAACATCCCCCCGCCCCCGCCCCCCCCCCCCCCCTCGTAAAAAGACACCAACACCAACCGGCCCTTTTTCCACCAGGCGGAGAAAAAAGAGAAGCGCGTTGAGGCCAAGGCGACACAGCCTCCGCCTTCGGCTTCGCCGCCCTCGCCGCCTTCGTCTCCCTGCGGTGAGGCCCAAAAACCCGGGCCTGGGAGAAATTCCAAACGGGGGGGGGAAGAAGGGGGGAGGGGAAGGAGGGAGGGGGGGGGGGGAGGAGGGGGGAGGGGGACCCGAAGCAAAGGTTGAGAAGGTTCCAAAAATGGAAATGAAGGACACCCTGCTAGAAGGGGGCTCGCCCTCTCCACATGTTTTTTTGGGACGGTCATGGTTGAATGGTTGGAGCAAGGCTGCGCAAGGGGAACGTTCCGCACCCGTGGGAAATGACCACAACACAAATGGTCCAAAACAACAAGCTCGCATCTGCAATATCAAAACCCTCATGATCCACACTTCAGCAAGCAGTTGCGGCAGCAATGACTAGAATGACTAGAAGAGAAGAGCCTCTTTTGTTGCCAACGGAGAGAGAGACAGAGACAGAGACAGAGACAGAGACAGAGACAGAGACAGAGACAGAGACAGAGACAGAGACAGAGACAGAGACGGAGACGGAGACGGAGACGGAGACAGAGACAGAGACAGAGACAGAGACAGAGACAGAGACAGAGACACAGACACAGACACAGACACAGGGAGGGAGGGAGGGAGGGAGGGAGGGAGGGGAGGGGAGGGGAGGGGAGGGGAGGGGAGGGCAGGGGAGGGGGAGGGGAGGGGAGGGGAGGGGAGGAGAGGGGGACAAAAAGGGAGGGGGAGGGGGAGGGGAGGGGAGGGAGGGGAGGGAGGGGAGGGGAGGGGGGGAGGGGAGGGGAGGGGAGGGGAGGGGAGGGGAGGGGAGGGAGGAGGCAGGAGGGAGGGAGGGAGTGAGCGAGGAAGTGAGGGAGGAGAGCGTGAAGCCAACGGGAGACCTCGCATTCACCACACACACACACACAAAAACAAAAAAAAACGGCGACCGGGACTTGCCGCTCTTAACGAGGGCTCCGGGGACGGCACACCATCTCCTTCTTGGACTTCGATCTTCTCACCACCTCCTGGCCACGGACAAACGCGACAAGGAGTCCATGACAATGAAAGGCAACCCCGGGCAAGTTTTGTCACTAAATTAGACTAAAATGGGTGGTGCACCTATCCCAAGATGGTACCATTGGTTTTGAACCATGGCCATTTCTGGGTGTGCCTGCGTGTTGAGGCCAGCCCTTTAGTGGAATGAAACTGCAAACCCAACAAACTGCCGACAAACCCGTCGGCAAAACCCAAGTCTCTTTCACACCCAAAAAAAAGGTGCAACACTTCCAATCCCCAGATCCCGAAATTTCACATGTCCAGAGTCCAGACCTCGCCTCCTCCCAAGACCTCTCGGCTCTGGCAGCTCCCCCGTTTGGCTTTGAGAAACAAACTCTCCTTTTGGCTTCCCGAGAAAAAATAAATAAAAAGCGGGCCCGAAATAGGCGCCCCTTCCGCCCTCGGAAAAGGGCACACGGTTCCGGAACCATGTCTTCCATGCTTTTCAGCTGTTTGGTCTTCATGGCTTCGTTCGTTGTTTGCGGGGGTTCCAAAAGACGCGGTTCTTTCCTAGGATGCCCAGGTGTTGGATGTGCTGAGCTGGAACTTTGGCTGTAAAACTCGGGGCACGGAGAGTCTTTCTGACAAGACAAGACCCTGAGGAAACCAGCATCTTGCAGTTGTATCAGCGATAACTCCTATGGACTTGTGCTGTCCCTTTGCCCAGCGGCGCAAGCGCAATGTCCCTTCTGTTGCTTCTTTGCGGGGTGGATAGGCTACACCACCAAATGCAATTCGCGGTCTGTTCGAGGCTCGTGAGCACTTTGCGATTCCAATACCAACATCTGGCGTGGAGATCCTGCTGGCCATGAAACCGCCAGAAACACCAACGACAGCGTGCCAAGGCGACGGGATGCGATTTTCCAGGGTCTCCTACCCTCACAACACCAGAGAACACTTGACTTGGAACCTTCTTGCCAGCCAAACGAACAGAACTGGGCTGATCGTGAGAAACCGCCCCTCCTGGTGCAGCCGGGCCGTGATGACCTGGAATTCCATGGATCCTATGGGAAGGTCTCGGTATCACTGCAGGAGGCATCCGCTTGCCTCCCCCAGAAACTGGACCCGGAAGCCGGTTTGCATCTGCGGTGCCACGCGCAATGCATGGCACCTAGGGAGTCGGTCAAGAGGAAACTTGTCTTCCAGGTACCCCCAGCTATGTTGAAGAGAGTACGGATGTGTCTTTCGGATTCAACCACCCCTTCCCTTATTCAGGTAGATCAAACTCTTGCTGTGCTTTTCTTTATTGCCCTCTAAACTCCCGAAAGGTCCTGCGCACTCTCGGCTGGGAGACCCAGATTCCTTCGTCCTTCGCAAATCAAACCACCACCAAACCGCCCCTCGGATCGTCACTTGACGTCGCCGTCGCCATCATAGGTGTCCTTTCTGGAAAACAGATTGAACCACCAGGTAAGCCAGGGCCTTCTATTTGTAAGCAAACCAACCAAAAAGGACACCTATGGTCGCCATCTCATCGCATCGATCGGCCAATGCCTCGAGCTGCTTCGTCTTGCGGATCTCCCGCTTCCGTGCGGCCTCCCTCTGCGCCTCGGACGATTCGAACCGCGCCTTCGAGTCAGAAGACTGCGATCCCTCGAGGCGCGGGTTTTCTCGAAAAATGAAACCCCCAGAGAAAGAAACCCCTGGATGAAAAATTCCGCAAAGACGCCTCGTAAAACTCATGATAAGTTACTGTCGTAAACAAGAGGAACCACCCCTTTTGTGGCGCATAGGACGGGCTCCACTTCAACTTCGGCAAAGTTTTACCACACTTCCAAAAAGCCGAACTCAAAAATAGGACCCACCCAAGTAGACTCAACCTTGACCATTCCCACGCCTTTCCCTCGCTCCTTCCCTCGCTCCTTCCCCCTCCTGAAGACCTCCCTCCCTCCCGCGCCTTGGCCGCCGCCAGCTTCTCCAGCTTCGCGGCCCAGCGCCGCAGCTCCGCACACTCCCGCGCCAGCCGCACCTCTCCGTTCGCAAAAGCGCGGGCGAATGCGCGGACGGACGGACGGGGAGAGATGGGGAGGTCCCGTTTTGGGATACCCCCTACTCGACATACCCACTTGTTCAGGGTATTGTTTTGAAAACCGATAGGGTATTGTTTTGAAAACCAATCGGTTTGTCAAGGTAAATACCTCATTTTTTAGTAGAGGGTCGACATGATAAGTGGGTATTTGGAGTTGGGGGGTAGGCAGGCGGCTGGTTTGGCAGGGGGCCAACTTGAGGCCAGAAAAGGTGTTGGGTTTGGGGGTGGGTGGTCTTAGTAGTTCAACCAAACCTCCAAGTTCTGAAAGAATGAGACATGGAATGACCCCGAGAAAACACACCATCCTCCGGGTGTTTTTTTTTTTGGGGGGGGGCACAAACCTGGGTTCATTCCCACATTCCCTGCCTATGGAGCAAGCTTACAAGGGGCGATCGATTCGGTACGTCAGGTAAGTGGCTAGTAACCTGGGCTATAACCCACTTAGGAGACTTATGATCATATCTCAAGTGGGTTGCTACCCACCGATCTCCTCCTGAAAAAAGGAACACGTCTTCAGGGGGAAGTTCCGTATCCGCTCACTTCCGGAATCGCGCCGATTGGCCCAAAAAGCTGTCGTTCTGACTTGGAATGGTTCAGGCGCAGCAACATAGGGAGTGAGACGAGGCACCTTCCATCTTTTGAGTTGAAATCGTTGAAGCTTTTGCCAGTGTGCTCGGCTCCCAATTAACCCCCCCAAAAAAAAACACGACACTCGAAAAGGGGTAAGGCTGCATCCTTCCAAGAACGACCGAGTTTAAATGGCTGAACCGCGCCTCTTGTGGGATGCGAAGGTGACGCTCTGTGCCACGCATTTGGACAACACATTTGAGGATGCGTCCGCAAATAAAACATCGCCTCTGGATCACCTGTGACAAACCTGAAGACGTCGAAATCCTGGTGGCACACCAAGACAAACGCGCATCATATCAATCTGAACCCCATGTAAAAGGTAAACTCGCAAGGAAGCCAACCTGGAGGGTCATATTGAGACATGCAGAAACAATAAATATAGCGCACATCAAACACACTCCACCCCTAAAACCATGGCATGTTACAGTCCACAGCTTCCGCGCCCCGCTCGCGAGGGCCTCATCTGCGGTCACAGGTTCCTGAGCCATCTCCAGTGCCTGCGCGAGTGACTAATATCAGAACATCAGGCAGTTCCGGTTCTTCCGTGTGTCCCATATACATGTATATATAGAGAGAGAGAGAAAGAGTCCTTGCTCTGTGGCTGTTTCTTTCAACTTGATGTGTGAAACACACGAAAAACTCGGACCAAATTTGAAGAATAGTGCGGTGACAGAAGAACGAATCGCCTTGCCTTGCGCAGCCAGTGCAATGCGCCCCACTTTTAAACGTGCACAGAAAGGAGCCCCGCGCGCCCTACCAAATGTCAAGCGCACGGCGGGGAGGAGGGGCTGTCCAACTACTGTAGCCGGACCCGGCGTGACCAGCGGATGTTTGGCGGGTCTTAAACCGCCCAAAAGGGAATAACCTTGCATTCCCAAAGAGAATCTGCTGACAAAGTTCCGTCACGTCCATTGGCCATCTCCCTCAAACCTTCGCAGGCTCAGTAGGCGTAAAAGCCACGCTTCGTCTTCTTGCCAAGCCAGCCAGCTTCCTCAGAAGAGCGGCCCCTTGCGCTCGTAAAACAAACCAAGTATCAAACCTTCCTGCTCCTGCACGGGCCACAAGAAGATCCCTTCGGGCCCTAACACACACGCTCTGACTCAAACTTCTCCCAATTGATTAGTCGGTTGCTAGCGCAAAGCATCCCAGCAGTCACCTTCATTATCATCATCACCACCATCATCATCATCATCATCATCATCATCATCAGCATCATCATCATCACCATCATCACCATCATCATCATCAGCGCCCCTCTGTCAGAATGTCTAGGGGTTAAGTCATGAGGGAAAGCAAGCAAGCAAGCAAGCAAGCAAGCAAGCAAGCAAGCAAGCAAGCAAGCAAGCAAGCAAGCAAGCAAGCAAGCAAGCAAGCAAGCAAGCAAGCAAGCAAGCAAGCAAGCAAGCAAGCAAGCAAGAAAAGCAAGCAACCAACCAACCAACCAACCAACCAACCAACCAACCAACCAACCAACCAACCAACCAAGCAACCAAGCAAAGAAAGAAAGAAAGAAAGAAAGAAAGAAAAAACGAAAGAAAGAAAAAAACGAAAGAAAGAAAAAACAAAAGAAAGAACCACCAAGGTTGATCCAACACATATTCGATATAAGCATATAAAATAACAATATCTAATAAATATATACTTATACAGATACATATAGATTTATTCAAACAAATATTAAGAAGTAACAAATATATATATATATATATATATGCTCACCCCCCCCCCCCAGGGCCTACCTTTGCACTTCAAAATGTACAAAACCCTCTTATTTTAAAAGACAGGGGGTGTGAGCATATATACGCAAGAAGTGTGCTGTTGCTGCATATTTTTTTGTGGGTGACAAGTCATGTTGAGTAACAACAGCAAAGAGTTTATAAACTTACAAGACAGTTTATAAACCATGTCAAGGGTTTGACGGTTTCCCTGCAACAAGGGCGGGGGGGGTCAGAACTCTTTACGGGGGGGGAGGGGGGGGGTACTGAGAAGTCTTTACAAAGTTGGCTGAGTCACACCTCACTGCTCAGACTTCCAACCACCCCCCCCCCCCTCCCCCCCAAGACTTCCAACCAACCCCCCTAAACTTACAAGACAGTTTATAAACCATGTCAAGGGTTTGACGGTTTCCCTGCAACAAGGGCAGGGGGGGGGTCAGAACTCTTTACGGGAGGGGGGGGAGGGGAGGGGGGGGCAGGGGGAGGAGAGAAGTCACACACAGTTGGCTGAGTCACACCTCACTGCTAAGACCAACCACCCCCCTCCCCCAAGACTTTCCAACCCCCCCATCCTTCAACGATACCATGAACACTTCGTAGGGTGTTGTTGCCTTGACGCGGGAAACTCGTCAACACTCAATAAGGTTTATAAACTTGCCTGAAAGTTTATAAACCTTCTGTAGGCTTATTGCGTAGCAAGTGGAGACTGTTGTTTGGGAAAAAGAGGACACTCATTTGAGGCCTTGTTTGATGTGGTTTGGGCATGTGGTCCTAAAAGGTTGATGGTTGTGTGTGGGTGTGTCATCACTGCTGCACTGTTATATCAAAGGCTGTCCATTCGGTCCAAGGGAACACAATCTGAGCAACTGCTGCAAAACACTGTTTTTACAGCATTTTGTTGGATCTCTAATCCCTTGAAATGTCCAATTTGAAACACCTGAAACCTAGAATCTGGAAAATGTTGGATTCTCCAAGCCTCATAATTTGGAGCCTGGAGTCCAACATATCCAAGTACACATTCCTTTCCAAATACGATTTTGATCCGAATTGAATTTGCATATTGAATAGAATTTAGTAAGCACATAGTTCACCACCATTCATAATTCACCATAATGTCTATATTAGATCAAAATTTGAACAGGAATACCTTTCCAAATAAGGAAAATATGATTGCAGTAGAATCCAAATATACTTTAATGCAGACAGAGTTCAATTAGCTTTTGAACATAATAATTTAATCAAGAATCCATCCCCAAATACAGCTTGAATTGGAATATAGCTTATTCTGGAAAGAAATCACTTGGCCTTTGCAATCAACTTTTAATAGTAACTCATTCCCAAATATGACTTAGCTTGAATGTGGCTAAACAAATAAAGGGCACATATCCCCAGACTCCCAAACTTGGTCTGGAGATGTGTTTGGCATGTGCAGGTCTCAGAGCTTTCATTTTCAAGAGATTTTGTGCTTTTGGGTCTGTGCAGGTTGCAGAGCTCAAAGCTGCCAAAAACATCATTTTTTCAATGGTTTTCCCTGGTGTACTCAAAACCACTGTAAAAACCAGTGATTCAATCAAAGCCAGGCTCGAATCTGAAAACGGAATCCGTTTTCGCGTTGCTGCCTTTCAAGCCTCAAATAATCAGACATTTGCTGTCACATAGAAGGAAAAAAACAACAAAACACTGTATGTTACAGTGTTTTCAGGCATCTGCAAGAAAGAGGCACACAGAGTAGAGTTGACACCTTCAACTAGAAGAGGGCAAAGGTAGGCCCTGGGGGGGGGGTGACCATATATATATATATATATATACACGCAAAATATATACAGCATATAACAAAAAGTTACGTTAAGCATATAATCAGAAATTTGTATATATTCCACCTTCCACCAGAAGCCCCAAATAGCTTCTGCTCAGCTCCAACATCAACATAACCCATCCAAGAGTCCACTTTCTCCCAGAAGCTTCAAATAGCTTGTGCCCGTCTCAGATTCCACTCTCCGCCAGAAGCTTCAAATAGCTTCTGCCCAGCTCAAACATCAACATAACCCATGCAAGATTCCACCGCCCCAACCCCCCCCCCCCCCAAAGCCCCCTCAAACCCCAACTCCCCCCCAACCTCCCCGCCCCCCCCCCCCCAACCCCCAAAACCCCCAAAGCCCCTCAAACCCAACTCCCCCCAAAACCCCCAAAGCCCCTCAAATCCAACTCCCCAACCACGCAAGACCCTCAAAGCCCCAACCCCCCCCCCCCCCCCGGGTGTTGGGGCAAAAGGTGGACTGTCTGCTGGTGCATTTGTAGGAGCAGGAATTGGTGAATCTGTTGGAGCATTAGTCGGTGCAGGTGTTGGTGCAGTTGCAACTGCAGTGGGTTTTTTTTTGCAGGTGCATTAGTAGGAAAGTTGGTAGGTGAATTTGTTGGAGCATTTGTTGGTGGTAAATTAACCCCAAACCCTCCCCCCCCCCCAAACATCCCCCCCCCCCAAACATCCCCGCCCCCCCCCTCAAACCCCCCCCCCTCAAACTCCCTACCCCAAAACCCCCAAACCGCCCCCAAACCCCCCCAAACCCCCCCAAAACCCCCAAACCCCCCTACCACCCCCCCCCCCAAACCCCCCCCTACCACCCCTCACCCATCTGGTCCCAGGCGCCACGTAGTTCACCAGCAGCGGCGCGGGGCGGTACTTGGAGTCCCCGAGGTCCCGGTGCAGCACCTCCGGGGCCCGCGAGCGACGCCGGGGGGGGGGGGGGGGTTTTGGGGGGTTTTGGGGAGGGGCCCAAAGGAGGAAACCACGAAGACGGCCCCGGACTTTTGCTTTTCAAGAAAAAAAATGGGGAAACCCGGCCAGAACCCGAAGGAAAAGGGGGGGGGGGGAGAAACTCGAAAAAAACCAGGTGAGCAAACCGGCACAAACCTGAAAAAAAGAGGGGGAGGGGGGGAAGAAACTCAAATAGAATGGAAGAAAAGCCCGAAAAGCATAGTTCGGAAGAGCCCGAGCGGGCAACCCTCCAGAAAACCAAGCAGCCACACCCATCGTTTTGTTTGTGAGGAAACGTTGGAATGACCCTTTTTGCCAGCTATCATTGTCTGTCCACTACACTATACAACCGCACCCTGCAGGCAAACTGGGCAAACAGCTGTTGTAAGGGTCCTACAGCACTCATGTAGGGTTCCAAACCCATTTTTCCGGCTTTGTAGTTTGGTGGAATCCTTCTTAGACATTCGGTCCTCATTTTGGGGTCTCCGTTTCAGTCCCAGGAAGGACTCGAGGGCTTTCTGTTTTCAAATCCGCTCAAAGTGAATAACTGTTGGCGGGTTGAATGGCTGCTGACAGCTGAAAACATGGGCTAAAAAGCAGTGGTCCCCTAGGTGGTCCAAAATTTCGACCCATACCCAAAATGGAAACCCCACCAGCCAAGACCCGTCCAGCCGGGGACAAGTTGGGGTTCCGAGCCCATTCCTCCGGCTCAAGTTAACCACCGCGAGCCGGGTTTGGGAGAGGCGTCCGGATTTTGAGCCACCGGGTCAAGGGATCGCCCTCGGATCAGCCAGGACGCCTGATGTTTCGGCTGAAAAGGGGCCCCGGTTCCCCACAAAAACGGCGGGCAAAGGAAAGAAAAAGGCGAGGCAGGCCGCCCGCATGATGCTGAGGCAGGTGTCCAAGCCGATGAAGTCCTCGGAGCGGGCGCCCGCAGCAGGGCCATGAGTTGCTCGCCCCCTGCTTTGCGGTGGAGAAACACCCGGGGTTGTACCCACCAAACCATAGCCACTGGGACGGCAGTAAATTTCCATCGACAAACCAATTGCCATGACCGACCATTTTGGAGGGTCCCCCAAAAAGTCACCCTTTTTCCCCCCACTTGGGACAACTGGCCAGACCAACAAAGAATAAGACAAAAGAAGCGGTTCAAGGGTCCTATGCCGGGGCAGCCCAGAGAGGAAGCCAACTCAAACAAGAAAAAAGCAGCCGCTGGCAGCGTCGGGCAGAACTTTTTCGAGTCGGGGCCCCGGCTCTCGTGGGAAGTGACTTCCCCATGTCCCTTTGTTTCATCGACCGGTAACTTCGGCTCACGTTTCTGCAGTCCCGACTGAAGAAATGTCGAGAGAACCTCCACCTTCCGCGGGTGGCTTACCCCTTAAAACTCCCTGCGCCCTGGGGAAGTGAATCTTTTACAAACATATAGCCCATGTTACCCCCAAAAAGTTGAAAAGTTTTGCGTTTTTAAGAGGTAAGGTGGGGTGCCTTACCTCTCGAGCTCGGCGTCAAGCCCCCGGTCCCCGCTCTCCGGAGCCGAGGGGCTGCCAGGGTCAGAGGCCCCATGGGCACGTTGGTGCCCAACTTCAGCGTCTTGTCGATGTCCTCCGGCCGGCCCGCGACATAGCGCGGTGGAAAAACGGGGGCCGAAAGCCATCTCCCGAACTCGGGGCATGGGAAAAAATGAGCTGGACGTGCTGGGATTCCTGTTGCCATAGGTTTGTCCTTGCCATAGAGTTGGTGCTTTCCGGTCGAACATCCAAGTGACCAAATTTCATGCTTCGTTACTATGGCTGTTGAGTCACCAGGCTGGATGGCATGAAATAGGAGGGGTTGCGAATGGAGCACATCTGGGGTCCACTTCCACGCGTTGGAAAGAAACTTGGAACCCACCAGGAGGCCCTTTTCGGGCTGCTTTGCTCCTGGTCTACTTGCAACGTCACATCATGCGAAAGGAGTCTCGAGGGGTCCAAAGGTCTCCTGGCAAATGGCACTTCCCTCGCTCTCGAAATCTCCTCCGCAGTGCCCACACCGTCCTGAAGAGCAAAGACCGCCTCGCGGGCGCCAGGACCAAGTTGCGAGCTTGAAGCAAACCAAACACAGAACCAACCCCAGACATGGCCAAAGAGGGACATCGGAAGCACCACTTTTGTGCGTTCTTGGTGTTGACAGGGGCCCTTTAGACTCAGAAGGGTTTCTTCAATCCTTTTGAGTGCCTTTCTGGAATTCCCCTCTTGCCGTGCTGATACTTGAGTGTGGATGGGCTTCGCACGTGGCTGGCGGTCGCTGGCGAAGTCCCAAAACCTGCAACACATGTAGGGTAAATCCTGCGTTGGGGGGCTAACCGGCGGCGGTCTGCCAAGAAGGACAACCCACGACTCTGGGAATGGCGCTTTGGAAGGGCTCCTTCGCAGGAGGTGCATGGAAACCTCATGGTTGTCTAGTCCTCAAGCGTCAGGAGCATTGGAGACCTTTCGCAAACATAGATGGCCCTGGTAAATGGAACGAAGCCAATCTAGACAAGTGCCATCAGTTGGAACCGAACTAAAAATAACCTGGAATGAGTCGATTCCCCAACGTACATACCGGCAAAACCATGGTATCAAACGGTGCAAACGGGTTTCGCTACCATCCACGGTATGGTCAGGAGGGGAACGCAAACTTGGCTCCAGCCTCGTTGATGTAGGGCATCAGCACGCGGTTCGCGATGAAACCCGGCCGGTCCTCACTGGTAGAGTGCTCCTGCAAGGCGGCAATGAGCAATTCATTGTCTGGGCGGTCACCAAACCCTCAGAGCCTCAAACCCAACCCTCAGACCCTCGAATGCTAAAAGTTTAACTTTTAGTGGGTAAATGAAAGTCCCCATTAAAGGCCATTAAAACATAAAGAAACCAAGGAGACGACTGAAAGCTGCCAAGTATTGATTTGGGGCCTTCATGGAATGCAAGGAGGGTGGGGATTCATGTCAGCCACTTTCTAAGTGGATTAAGCAATTCAAATGGATTGGGTGGATCGAAGCGCTTGGACCCTCTCAGACCCTCACGAATGGCTGCAATCACCAGAAGTGGATGGACAAGATCCAGGCGTGAGGATAGATAAAACCAATTGGGTGTGGGTCAAAAATAATCCACCAGGGAACCACAGGTTTTTGTCATTGTTTCCATTTACCAGGTGTCATTTTGGGTACCTATTTTTGACCCACAGCCATTTGACTATTGGGATAAGGCACCAACTGGCTTGAGGCAATACGGTATCTTTTTGTATAAGGGTCTGTTGACGTTCCAGGTGACCGGCGGAGCGATTAAACAAAAAGACACGGAACACCCACGCCGGATGTGACTCATCCCGAAGGGTAGAGAAGTGGCGCGGTTGTCCTTTTCCTTGGATTTTAGCAGAAGCCTCTTCCCAACCATCATGGAAGCCGACGATCGGTTTTCTGCATGCGCTGGATTCATACTTGTTGCGAGTGGAGCAATCGCATACGTTTTGGCTCGCGGCCGGCTTTCCAGGCTTCCGGCCAGCGCGGGAAAAGAAAACTGCGGGGGGGGGAGAAGTGGGGGGACGTGGGGGACGTGGATGAACAACATCCGGTTTGGGCACATCAAAATGGATTGAGGCCAACTTGAATCAGCCGTACCCCCCAAGTGCTGCGGATAGGGGGTCAAAGCTCACGCAACGTGCCGGCTGGTTCCTGCGCTTGGGGCCCAAATTCCTGCGCTTCGCGCCCAAAGAAGCCGCGCGCTCGGGTTTTGAGTTTCGGGGCGCGAGAACGCGTCTGCGAGCCGACTTTCCGGCGGGCATTGCCCTCAGCCCGAGGACTTCGGATTGGTTCAAGCAGACAGCAGGAACCAACCCTTCAGGCGTCATCCAAATATGCATATCTAGCTTGTAACAATGCAATTTCCAAGTTTCACACACCCTGAGGAGACCGCCAAAGATGCATTTGTGAAGAAGTTCACCGACCGCAAATGTTCGTTCTTCCAATAAACACTGAAAAAAATGCATGATGCAAATCGCAGTTTTGGGCTCGGGAGCTTTTCAAATATGCAATTTGGAGGGAGGAGGCATATGCAATATGCAGTTTCAATCAAGAATGCAGATGCTTGAGTTGACACGATTTATCAAATTTGCGCCACGCTCAATGTCTGCCTAGGCCAGCCTCATAAAACTACGATGTGGATTTTGTAGCGGGCACGTGTCAAAACATGAGGGAACAAAATTGTAGCCGTCCTTTTGATGTCCCCCGAAAAGGGTACCCCAAACAAAACAGAAAGAAAAGAAACTCTCCCAAATGTCACACACGCTATATATTATACCTCTGTTCGACGCACGAAATCCGCTCGTGGCAAATCCTTTCTGGCGAACTCCCTGGACCCTCAAACTGCCCGTCTTAGTTTTTCTTTTTTTCAGGAAGTCACCCCGTCATGTCGGGGCGATGCCCCGTTTTTGGCGGGGATCTTGGAAGCTTCGAAGTCCTTCTTCATGGCCCGGCAGAGCCGCAGCGTGCTCTGCAGCGTGGCCTCGTCGGTGCGCAGACCACGGATGACCTCCACCAGGGGCATCACCGGCACCGGGTTCCTCGAGCCACTCCAAAGGGGCGATCGAGTCGGTGCGTCAGGCAAGTGGCTGGTACCCATGATTATAAGTTATGGCTTAGTACAGTAACCCGTATTGCCTCAAAGCAGTTGGTAGGTGCCTTATCCCACTATTCAATTGGCTGTGGCTAAAAGAAAACGGTACCAACATGGCTTGCCTGGTATAAGTGGAAACATGGACCAAACCCTGCGGTTTGCCCCTCCTGTTTGATTTTGAGCCACCGTCTATCTCCCTCTCCGTTCTCTCTTTCATAATCTCAGGAACGAACGGAGTGGGAAGTGAGTGAGATGGAGGAAGGGAAATGACATGTGATGGGAGATGGGATTCCTTCGTCATCTAGTTGCTTCTTCCTTGACTGTTAACTTCTGAATCTTGGATCACAGGCAAGAAGAGAATTACACCGCTTCATTCCTCATCTCTTCGTCATAGCGGAGAGAGGGATGTGAGGAATGAGTGGTCAAGGATAGTGGCTAGTTCCCATGGTTACAACTCATGGTTTAGTAGCCCACCCAAACCCACCCATGGAGTACCACGAACAGTGTTGTTTCACTACTTGAAGGGGCATTCTACGTAAGTGGTTAGTAACCATGGTGAGATGGCTGTGGTTGTCAAAACCAAGGGATCCCATTTTGGGGTAGCATTTTAGAAGCTATTTTAGTGGGGATTGGGATGTTCACTGGGGGTGGTGAGCGTAGGTGTCCTTGTTGGTTGAAAATAGATGGCCCTGGTAGTTGATTGAACCGCCAGGTAAAGGGCCCTCTATTTTTCAACCAAATCAGCCCAAAAGGACACCTATGGCGGTGAGATAACCCACAAAAGCCATGGTTATAAGTCTCCGTTCAGTGGGTTATCTCACCATGGTTACAAAACTTACCTGACGTGCCGAATCGATCACCCCTTTAAGTACCGGATGTTCTTTTGGAACCCCCCAGTCCCGCGGAAATACTTCTTCTTTTCTTTTTTTTGAGGGGGGGTAGCTGAATTTAAAGAACCCCAACCCCCCTCCAAAAAAAAAAGGAATCAAAAAGGGAAGCAACCCTTTCCTCAGATTTCTGGTGGCCAATTTCGGGATAGATTGTAAGAGTAATCTACAGTGAGCTTCCGGCTGATGTCTTGTCCTGCCAGGCCTCTAATCTAATCACAGCGGATGGGGTCTTTTTCTGCCCGGACCCCGGTCCAGAAATAAGCCTCATGGATTTCTTACGCGGCCGGTTCCCCGAAACCTGCTCCCCGGCAAGCCTTCCAAAGCAAAGGCTCTGGGAGCTTACAGTTGGGTTCCGCGCGAGCGACTCGCATGCTGAGAACCGGGCATGAAGTGCATACCTGCGATCGCGGGCTCGGGGTCCCAATTTACACTGAAGGCTCAGTTGTGGATATGCATCTTCCTTTGAGGGTAGCCTCTGTTGGGTGCAAAAGAGAAACCAAAGCAAAACGGCTGTTCAGAGACAAACCCATATTGTTCTTTCTGTTGGAACTGAGCCCTTTGATGAACCAAAGCAAAAAAACAAAAACACGCAGTTGGAGTTGTCCAACCAACGACCACGTTTGAGGTTCCTGCTCTTATGCATCGCCATATCCACATAGGATCACTGTACGCCCCCCTGCGCCTTGCGCTTTGAAACCAGGTGAACGTCTCAAGCCCCCTTCACTCGCTTAATTTGCGGGCTTCACAACAGACAGCAGGGCCTTACGCAGACAGGGCCTTACGCAGAAGTGGATCACTGAACCTATGGCCTTTGGCCCTACCCACCAACCGCCGACGGCCTTTTTGCTTTCCAAGGCACCGATCACGCGCTCCGGCCTGCGCGCCGGAGAAAACAAAGCTGAAGGGCACCTATTTCAACGGCAGGGGAGGGATACGAAGGGTGTCATTTAAACTGGCGTCTGTCTAAGAAACCATGGAAGCCCCCCCCCCCACAAAAACAAAAAAACAGGAAGAACAGGAGGACTCCCCCTTTCCACGGCCGAAAGAAGAAAAGAAATCCGAAAGGCTCCGCCTGGAGACCTGCGAGGCCAGCTTCGTGATGGAGATGGAGGAGGTGTTGCTCGCCAAGATGCTCTGCTCCCGCAGGCCCGCCGCCTAGCGAAAAACGAGAAAAAAAACGCACCAAAAGCGGGCGTGGCCGGCCGTGGCACCTGGGGAAAGGTCCGGAAAAAAATCTGCGAACAGTGAGTCGGCTTCTGTTGAGGCCAAAGAAATGCGGAAACTGAGATGGAAATCCAAGCAAACCAACTACAAAGATCTAAAAAGCGAAGGAACCGGATGGATGGGAGCCACCAAGTAACACCAAGGTGGTTGAGTCGCTTATCTTTACCCGCTTTCAAAAGATACGTTTCGAGGCAGCCTCTGCGCAAAAGAACGTCCCAACCCATACCCCCGGTGGCCGTGGGAAAAAGAGGCATGCATTTTTGGGGGGCAGTTGATCCCTCCTCCCCCGGAACAACACAAAATGGCCGAGGCAAATACCTTCTGGAACACTCCAAAGCAAATCCGGAATTTCGGAAGCCAGCCGCTAGGTGTCTTGTTTTTGATCTTCGACCTGTTGCACAGGAGCTAAAAACATCTGCATGCATTTATCTCCGCTTTCAAAATCACCCCACAGTCCCGGATTCAAGAATGGTGTCGCCGGGATGCCAACAACCTCGGATTCTTGGACAAGGTATGAAAGACATTACAACCACCATGGGTTGCATCATGCGTTTGAGAGAAAGGAATCGCAAATTGGCGGGGCCCCAAATGCAACGAAGATTTACATATCCAACAAGCCGATGCGGGTTGTTGAACTGAACCGGGTCCAGCCCTTCGAAACGGCGTCCTTCCATGGAGGGAACGAACCAATCCTTGAAACTACCCTTGTGGTTAGGGAAACCCGCTCCCAATTATGTTTGTTTGGAGAACCCCTCAGTCGTCATTTTGGGAGGGCACCGCACGTGACTCCGCATTCGGCTCAGTTCTTGCTTCCCCCACCGGCAATCGTAAGGCGGTTGTTAATTTTATCTTATAGGGTTTCTTGGTGGACATCAAAATTTGGTGGAACCACAACCCCTTGTAAGGTGATCCCCTCCCCCTCCGAACCCGTTCTTAGAAATCCCCACACCTCCAGAGCCCCGTAGCACGACTGCTTCACCTCCAGATCCTCGCTGACGGCCTCTGCGTCTCCGGTATGTTCTTCCCCACGAGCGGAAAAAGGCCGCGAATTTCAACCCGAAAGGAGTCCAAGAAACTTGCTAGAAGCTTCGCTTTGGTGCGATAATGTGCCAAATGTACCCATGAACCCAGAAGAGTGGTTCCGACTGCTTTGCCACTTCCAAGAAAATGAATTCGAGAAAGGTGCGTCTCAATACAGATCCCTACAATGTAGTCGCTTCCCTTTTGGTGTCCCTTTGCCGCTATCTTCAAAACGAGACACATCCACGCAGCCGCATGTTCCTCCGCAGAGAAAGTTGCAATCTGGAACTGCGTAGAAAACCATGCGACACAGAAAACCCTTCAAACAGGTTGTGTGTGTGTGTGTGTGGTGTTGTGTGGTTTCTGTTTGCGGAGAGGGAAGGCTGAGATTTTCGAGGTGGGCCCTCGTAAACACCGGTGGCGTTTAATGTCCGAAGAAAAGTCAAAGGAAAAAAAACTTATCCAAAAGTTTGGGAAGATATTTTGGAACTTGGGTGTCTTACACGTGCGAAAAAGAAGCTTTTATTAGGGTGCCGTTTGGGAGGTACCCTTTTCGGTCTTGTTTGAAGGTGAAAACCAAAGGGAAGCCTCCGCCACTTCCAGACCTTCCATCCCCTTCGCTGTCGGCTTCAATTTTCTCCACTCCCGATTAACCATCGTTGGGCCACCTCCTTGTACCGTGGCTCAAACCGCTATTGTTTCAATTTGGGGCTGGTTGTTTTTTGTGACACGGCTTATTGGAGCCTCTGCGCCTGGCACCGATTTCTTGCAAGAGATTGCGTGCAGGAGGTTGCATGGGGGTGTGGAGGTGGGAGATAATAACGTGCCCATCACAGACGTGCATGGCACTTTGTGCTCATTCAGGTTTTGCGGTCAGTGCAAAAGCGCTTGCACTGGTAAATTCCGAGGGCAATCCGTACCCGTTGTGCAAGAGTACAACATGCGTTTGCACCAGGAAAAGAACACATGCCACGTGCGCCATGCGACACTGCCCCGACGTCTCCAACAAAAAGGCCAAAAAAAAGTAAGGAGAAAAAGACAAAAACAAAAGCACGTTCTTCCGCCGCACCTCCGCCCCAAGCCAGCGGCGGAAGTGGCCACTCCCCACGCCCGCCCCACCGCCTCGATCACGAAGTCCAGGCCGGGCACCACGGCGCGCAGGAAGGCCTCGTCCTTCAGGCTGCCGAAGCTCAGCAGCTCCAGGAAGTCCGCCACCTCGGAGCGGGCGCCCCGCCCGGAAGATGCCGCGCGCGCGTCCGTTTTTTGGTGACCCCCCGAAAATGTCAAACGGCTCGGGTTCTTGGATTTTTGTTTCCGTGACCCAAAAGGCACGTTTTCTTTTTTGGAAAGATGCGCTGGAAGGTACACCAGCAAGAAAGATGTGCTGAAACCTGAGGGTTGCCGACAGCCTTTCTGCCGACCGGAAAAACATGATTGATTGGACCGGTCCAGAGTCCGCCGACCAGAGTCCTTTTGACGCTCGCTTTTGATCAGCCGCCTCATAGCAAAAATGAGGTCCAAACAGAGCGCGCCTCAGTCTCGCTCATCCGGCCCTTCTTTGCCTGCGAACATACCGCCGCGCAGCTGTTTTGGGTTTGGTCTTTAGGTGTCTCCTTTAAACATCACCCCACCCAAGGGAACCAATTGTATATAACCTGGAAAAGGTTGTGCTAAAATCCGAAAATATATAACATAATATACAATTGAGAAATGTGGGCTATTGGGAAACCAGATCGAACCCACCAAACATGAGTCACTGCAACATGTGGTCCTTCCGAAAAGAAGAAGACGAGGGCGTCCTGCGCTTGGAGCGATGCCCCTCGCGCATCCGAAGCCGCCACTTCCGCCCGAGTCTTTGCGGCAAGGTGCTCTGTGGAGGCTTCATTCAACAAAAAACTGTGATAAGCTAGGGCCTTGCACTTAGTGTCTAGCAACACAAAAAACACGAAATGTGGGTGGCTCGTCTTTTTTAGAGTTGGTACCCTTTCTTGTGTTTAATTGGAACCCCAAAAGCCAAACCGACGCCATTTTTGGGGGGGTCCCCTAAAAAAAAGGACAGACCCATGTCCCAGAAGAAGAAGTCATTCCCACCTCCCCCAATCGCAACATCTCCCCCTTCAATGTACTCCCAATGATTCCAAAGCCTAAGGCATCCCCAGGGAAAGGAACAAATGTTGTTTTCTATTCATCCCCCAAAAAAAAAGACACCCACACAGCCACACACACACAAACAAAACATGCCGCCGCCCCAAAAAAAAACAAAAAAAAAAACTCCCCCCCCCCCCCCACTCCATCCCCACTCCATCCCCACTCCATCCCCACTCCATCCCCACTCCATCCCCACTCCATCCCCACTCCATCCCCACTCCATCCCCACTCCATCCCCACTCCATCCCCACTCCATCCCCACTCCATCCCCACTCCATCCCTACTCCATCCCCACTCCATCCCCACTCCATCCCCACTCCATCCCCACTCCATCCCCACTCCTTCCCCACTCCCACCACTCCCCTCCCCCCCGCACTCCCCTGCCCGTCCCTTGCCTCCTTGGCCGCCCACTCGGCCACGAAGGCCTTCGACCGCTCCAGGCTCGCGGGGAAGGCGTCCAGCGCCACCACCTCCAGCCGCGGATGCCTCGCCTCGAGCGCCCCAAGGTCCGAACAACGAGAAACCGGCGCCGCGAAGAGGGGACCCCCTGGGTGGGCGATTCTTTGGTCAGAATACATTGGAACCAAAGGAAAACCCTGGTGGCTGTGCTCTTGGGTTGGTAAAAAAAAATGGAACCAAAGGAAAACAAATGTGGCTGTGCTTTGGTTGGTTCTCCTTTTCCTGTGGCCACAGGAAAAGAAAGGCTCTGTCCTGCAGGGAAAGACCTGGAGCCAAAATGGCCTGGGAAACCAAAAGCAAACCACTTACCTGAAATTCCCAAATTCTGAAAAACACCGCATGGGTATGGGTCCTTGTGTCCATGTACCAGCGCAACCCATTCTGGGGTTACCCTACTTTGGACCCACACACATAGTTGGGTCTTAGGGAGAAAGCAAACAGTTGCTTAAATGCCTTCTCCTTGCGTTGAGTTTTGGATTTGCTTTCTGTTGAGTTTTTTTGGAGAGAGGCTTGCTTGTTGCGGCGTTTTGTCGCTGTTTGGTATTCAGCATGTGGTTGGAAAAAAACCTGCAGAATATTGTGGAAAGGGAGTACAATCACCTTCAATATGCAATAGTTCGTGGTTGGTTGCTGCAAGCAGGGTGCATGGACTTTCCATCGCTGTCGCGAGTTTGTGAATGATGCCCGCAAGGTAATTTCATTGTTTGCTTTTGCTCTCAGTATGTCTCTGCCTAAAAAATAATGATCTGAAATAATCTGGTCGACGTTGAGCAGGACCCTTCACATCAGCGGTCTGAGCTGGCTTCCAAGCCACCCAAGGACCTTCATGCGCCAAATCGCAGAGATGTTGATCAAACAAATCATGGCGTCCTGATAGTTCCCCTTCAAAATAACCAACCAAAAACGGGTTTTACACCCCAATCAGCTTGCCCTTTTCGAAATTCACGATGCCAGTCGCGCTGGGGCACGGCTACAATGGCGATGCCGGTACCCATCCTCAGCTCACAGCTGGTCAAAACCGAGGTCGAGACCAAAACATAGATTGATGCTGATTGATGCTTTCAGTTTTGACGGCACCTTTCTTGGATGAACCACAATTCGGAGGGCCCCGTCGCATCACTCATGCAGGTGTCCTTGAGATTCTTAGGATGGTACTTCTGGTGAGAAGCCGCTACAAACTGAATGAGGCAGGAAGGGATGGCCCATCCACAACGATCAATCCTGTCTTCAGCACAACTCTTCAATCTTCCCTCGACGGGTCCTCCATAAACAACTGACCTCGTCATGCCGCGCAGTTCATCTCACCGGTCGTTTTTCACTCTGAGCTGAACTGACCTAGCCTCCTTCCAGTTGCTTAAGCCGCCGCGAAAAAAGAAATGTCCAGCAGTGATCGATTCCCTTTAAAACCACAAAGGAAAAATATTTCTTCAGCAAATGGAAGCCTTTCAAGTGCCTGAGGCCAGCTCTGACCGCAGCCCACCACGCCCACCCGCGCCGGCAGCGCGGCAGCAGCGCTCGCACAGGCGCGGGCTCGAGGCGTGCGCGCCGCGGAGGCGGCGCGCCAAAGCGGCGGCGCCCATCGGTTGGACATACTTGTGCTGTGGTTGTGACAGGTTGGGGTAACCCCAAACTGGGGCAAGCCCTGGTTTGAGGGAAGCAAGGACGATGGAACCTGCGGCCCAATTCCTGGTGGTTTTTCATTTTGAACCCTCTGCACTTGGCAAGTAGGGAACTGAAGTCGGCACCATGGGCCGTTGCGGCTTGTCGGTGGATCTGGACGTGTCCGGCAGTCATGGTTTCAAGGCTCAGCCACTGAGAAACGAGGCAGACGTGTTCCAAGGCTCCCGCACCTCCCATGCCTGAAACAGCCTTCGATGGGGAGCCTGCAATCCATGTACCTCTCTCCCGATCCCCCTGGCTTGATGGTTGGTTGTGCGTGGAGACTTCCTTCCATGCCATTGGGTCAGCTCAAGTGTGGGGTTTCAAATCCACCCTTCGTTGTGACCTGTTCTGTGGATAACCAAAAAAAAAAGAAAAAACAACATGCTCTCACCGCCCTTCACCGCCCTTCACACCACGCCTTTTGCGGCTTCCGGCCCAACTGATGCAGTCTGGAGACCACATCACGTGCCTGGATGCAAGCAGCAGGCTTTCCCTGCATCTTGCTCATGAGTCATCTGAATCAGCGGGGGGGGGCTGTCTTGGTCTGCATGCGGCAGTGCGCGGCAGTGTAGAGTGATGCGCAAGTCACCTACCTTGGTACATTTGAATGATGTCACATCATCCCACTCGGCCGGCGGGAGAACCTTCGTGCGGCCCCAAGAGGAAAACGCACCAACTGGCAACCGCCAAGTAATGCTTCGACTGCCTTAGGCAATAGCTTTCTCAGCAGAAAATGATAAATAAAATTACTGTAAACCATCCCGGTGTTTTTTTCCGGCTTTCCCCTAAGACAACAATCGCACCAGCCAGATAAGTGCCAATCATTTTGCGACACTGCTCGAATTGTGCCTCCCCGGGAAGAAACGGACGGAGACAGTCTCCGGCCGATCCATCCGCGTCTCGTAGGTCCAAGGCGTCTCGTTTGAGCCTTGTCAGCCTTGGGCCTCGTTGGAGCCACTGCTTCGACCTCCGGTTTTTGGGTTGAACAGGCCTGAACAAAATCTGGCTACATTTCTTTGAACACACAGCCCACAACTACCTGGCAACCAGTTCCAACACCCGAAGCGACGAGGGCGACACCTCGTCCTCCGCTTGCATCTGCTCGGCCAGGCGCTCTTTCAGGGCTTTCAACTGCCGCGGCGTCGCTTTGTTCCGTTTGGCGTGTCGGATTCGGCTGGAACAACAAGGTTCAATTCCCCAAACCGAACCGATTGTGGGTAACCGGATCCATGTCCATCCGTGTCTATCCGTGTCTCTCTGTGTCTGTCTGTGTCTGTCTATGTCTGTCTGCAAGGGAATGCTGTTCCGCTCGCTTCCCAAAAGTGAATGGCGATCATTTGGGAAACCACCAACAAAGCTGACTTTCACCACTAAGTGGGAAAAGTTGCGCATGGTCAAAACTGCAACCGAAGGGAGTATTGATCCACCCCCATGTACACGTCTGCCCTGGTAGATGATTAAACCACCAGGTAAACCAGGGATCGCCCGGTCCAAGCCATGGAGGCTTTTGTTGACCTAGCGTTTCCATCTATATTGCTAGCAAAAACAACCAGAAAGGACACCTATGCAAGTGTGTGTGTGTGTGCTGCTTTTCCCCCAGTGCAGTTCCGTTCGGCCTCCAGCATCTTCTCCTCCAGGCGAGCAGCCTGAAGCCCAAGGGGCAGCCCCCAGCATGGAGCAGTGGTTTTAAAGAACCTAAAGGTCATAAACCCAGGAGGGCGTAACTCCCTTAAGCCCTCAATAAGTCCTTAAGGGCGTATTTTTGGGGGTTATCCTGGGCTTATCCAGGGATAGCCCCGCCCATAGCCCCCCCGAAGATTCCATGAAAAGGAGGTTGTTTCAAGAACAAAGGTAGACATTTTTACAAAAAAGAAAAGCGGCCCAACAACAATGCTATCGTGGCGTATACGACTATCCCCAACATCTGCACATGGGGTACACAGAAAATACGGCGTCGCAAATTAAAGCTTAAATAGCTGGACACTTAAGTAGGCCAACAATGATTTTATACTACCTCCACAAGAAGCACCGGCCCGGCCAACCAATTTAAGTACTTTGCGTTCTTCTTGAAAGGTGTTGTTGTCTTCGGCCTGCTTAAACCTCCGGAATTGCTCGGAAGTGCTCAGGCTGCACGTTTGAGACATGGAAGGCTGGAGGGTAGGCTCTCTCCGCACTGTGGTTCAAGCGCAGCAAGCAAACAGCAGCTCTCAAAGGCTTAAGCCTTGTTAAATCCTGTGTTCGGGGGGAAGGGAACTGATCCGACTAAGATTCAACACACCTTTCAAACTACACTACCTCCCAGCCCTGAAGCCCTGGTCCCGATATATCTAAATATCTCACAGTAGTATGTGCGGGCTCTGTTTCATATTTAGCCCACTCTAACAAAATGAAAGCAGCGCTGTGAGTGCTAAGACATAACTTGTGGAGGAGACCTACGCCGCGCCTGCGCCGAGGCAACCTCTTTCCCGCACTCCAAGGGCGGCTCCTAGGTGGAGGGAAGAGGCGCGAGCCAAGGAAGGCATTTCACCAGAAAATTGGGAAGGCTGTCCTCTTTCACGTTTTCAAGGGGAACCCTGAGAATGGGCGCGACATTCATTTTTTTACCGGCCCTTCACCCTTAGCAAAGTCACTCCCTAGCGATTGGGCAAAGGGACACGCCATCAGTTGCTGACTTTGAGCATCCTTAAAACCTGACAACATTATGACCCCAGTTGGAGTTGGTGCTCTTTTGCGGGCTGCTTGAACAAGAAACGCCCAGCAGCCGCAGGAGAGGAGCTGGCCCCCAATCACTCGCCGAACCCAGGGGGAGAAGCAAACAAGCAACAAACCAGCAGAACGGGAAAAACAGCTGGCAGGTGCTTGGAATCCCGTCAATTGCCACTCCTTGCTCACTTGATCATCCTCAAAAGCTAGGCCAAAGACCATGTAAAACAATGCGCTGGGGCATCAAATTGCCTGGAACCAAGAAATGGACCTCAAGCCCTTTCTGAGGTTGCTCAGGTTCCGTGAGGAGACACAGCGGTGAGTGTAATTTACAGAATCCACCTAAGTCTTACGAAATCTAGCAAGCAAACCAGGAACAACTTGCTTTACCATAATTTGCCATGCGTGTGGTTGATCTACTTGCAACATGGTTACCCTCAGGTGCTTCCCGAGGGTTTGGAGGTGTTCAGGGCTGAGCGGTTCACTTCACCAAATCCAAACCAATCCAAACCACCAATTCCTCCCCTACACATTTTTCATCGAACCCAAAACACCATGGTGTGGGGTCAAAAATAGGGTAACCCCCGAACCCCCGAAGGGAACCCTGGTAAATGGAAACATGGACCAACACCTGCGGTCCCCTGATGGTTTAATTTTGACCCATACCCCTATGTTGAAGATCGGAGTCCCCTTTGGCTAATGGACCGTGGGGTTCCTTCCGCATGTAGAGTGCTGTGATTTGAACCGCTGGAGGGAAAAAATTGCTTCCCACCCCACCTCCAAACCTCCAAACCACCATCGGGAATGAGCCCAGGGATTTCCTAAAAGGAAACCATGGGCGATAAGCTCATTCCATTTCTCATTCCCTGCGTCTCGAACCAGCAAGATTAGGGCTTCTGCTAAAAGTGAGATTCACCTGGTTAAACACGGAAACCCACCAAAAACACAGACAAACAAAAAGCAAAGGTTGTTATAAAACCGGATGGCTGAAGGGAGTCCCTTGTTCTAAACCGCCAAACTCAGTTGTTCAGTCCCTTTTTTGGGAAGACCATTTTTAGTGGGGCCACCAAAAAAAAGGTTGGAAAAAGAATTGGTGCCACTGAACAACTGAGGGATACTTCGAAGCCAAGCACCACAAGTTGGGGCCCCATAGAATTCTTTTTAGGAAACCACCTCACATGAATCCCCACCGACATTTGAGGTCCACCATTTCGGGTCCCCAATCGAAATTCACACTTAAATACTTACCCCTTAAAACTCCAAGCCCTGGGGAAGTTAATCTTTTACAGACATATAGCCCATGTTACCCAAAAAGTTGAAAAGTTGTGTTTTTAAGAGGGGAGATCTCCCCAAGCTGCACCTGGGCCACGGCGATTCTTGGCTCCCGCCTGCAGCTTCATCTCCGCCGCCTGCGCGCGGCTCCGCGAATTGCGCAGCTGCCGCAGCAGCCGGGCCTCGAGTCGTGGGGTGGCTCGCCACCAAGAACCGGCCAAGGTCACCCCCTAAGTGGGGGGTTGATGAGAAAAAAAACCATTGTCTGACCTGGATAACCCCCCAGAAGCCGTCAAAATCATGGAGCCCAGAGGAAGGACCCGAGGAGGAGCCGAAAATCGGCGGAAGGGTCCCATGTTCCAGGGAAAGAAGTCGGGAAGATCCCGAAGATGAGTCGAAATCGGCTGGTTGGGTCCGCACGGCGCACATGCTGAGTCGACAGAACCTGAAAATGAGACTCATGGAGCACCTTCCAGGGAAAGAAATCAACCAGATCCGGAAAAGTGAGTGATGGAAGGGGTACCCTCCCAGCTTTCTTACGCGGACAGGGAAATGGACCCTTTCCCCCAGGTTCAAAATGGGGCTGCCTCAAAGGCCGTGGTCGTGGCAGCCTGTGATCATCAACTGCTCGGGTCTGTCTTCCTGTGGGAGGGAACCCTTTTTCTTAGGTATGCTTCAAAAAAGAGACTAGGCAATCGCCAGGGTTTTTGGGGAAGAAAGGAATCCCCTTGACCAGCAAGCCTGGCGCGCAGGTCGAAAACAGGACTCCGGACACGGCGTGTTCTTTCGGGGAACATTTTGAGGGGGTCTCCAAATCTGTGAGTCGGGAATGGAAAGGGAACATGAAAAGAATCCGGAGGGAGGGCCTACGGAAAGGCTCGGGTGCACAGGAAAAAGCAGCACCCAGCGGACATCGGAAGAAGAGCCTTCCCTTTTGGTGGCTGGCTTGCCCCATTGATCACAGCCTGCGGAGACTGCTCCTATGGCCCAAAGTATGGGCGCTTAAGGGATGGCGCTGAAGCCACACGATCTCATTTGGACCCACCGAGGGGTCCTGGTTTTGACCTACTCTTGATCTAAAGATCGGAACAACCTTGGAGAAACAGCCGCAAGAGTGACGTTTGACTGCTAGGACTCAAGCACATCCTGGTGCTGAGTGGGACATACTAGCACATGATACACAATGCTGAAGCAGAACTGACAATGATGTGTTAGACTCAGACAAGACCATCGTGTTGATCATGTTATGCAGGATCGGCAACTTGTTGAATTGCGGGGAAATGTTGAGAGTAGGACATAGCAGGCAGCTCTAACATGATCTGGGTAACTGTTCACTGTGGTGAAAGTCGTCTTTTTGGTCTCCCTAATGGTCACCCTATGGAAAGGACCTGTTGATTAACTCAGAGCATGTGAGACCCTCCCAACCCCCCGAAGCGCCAGCCGGCCTCCAAATCGGACATGTCGATGTCCATCCCCATGAGGACAACAAAGGCCAGAAAGAACCAAATAGAACAAAACGTCCAAGATTCACACAAAGACATGTGCAAATTTTAAGAGAGACGCTCAAACAAATATCAGAGAAATCGCCTTGTGAGGGTAACGCACCAAAGCACTGCGCGAGCAAAACGCACCGCGCGAGAGCTGGAGGCAAAAGCAGGGAGCCGCTGGAGACCTCCCGAGTGCGACGTGGAAAACTCAACCGGGTTGTTCTATGGCAGACAGACAAGCTGGAGCCAAACTGTTAACATGTTTAAACACCCCTGATCCAAACGGAAATGCTTGGCTCGTGCAATCAAATCACAGGGCGCCGCTCAACCTCTCTGTTTGGTGTGATCGGAGTTGAAGCCCTTATTAAAGCCTCCAGGCTTTTCCTGTTGCAGGAACTCTTGCCGGGCACAATGCAGCCTGGCCTCTTTTGCAGAGATGCGGGCCACTCCGCGCCCCTAATTTTACGCTCCCGAAAATCTTTCGCGTGGAACCAGGGGTGCCCTGGTTCCACGTCCGATTTTCGCAGAGGCGGTGAGACCCACCGATGCTCCTACTGACCCCCTCGAGCTTTGCAGGAAGGCAAGCTCACGGGAGAAACTCAGCTGGGATACCTACAGCGAGGCAAGGGAAATCCAGGATGATAAACACATTGACATGGAAACCCATTTAAAAGGCATCCATCCCTTTCGGATGAGTTGCACCCAACATCTCAAAGCTCTCAAAGCTGCTCTGATCCGACCAAATCTGACGCGTCAAGCGAGAGAAACCAACGTTTACTCGTGGGGAAACCTGACCTTCCTGCCCTCCACCTCATACAACTGATTGTATGACATTGATGCCCTAAACATTGTGAGTACACGACAAACAACTAGGATTCCAAGTTTGTTCCCCACTTGCAATCAAGGGTATTCCACCAATATAAACCTGTCCTGCCCCATCTTTTTGGACCCCATCGGCCACTGGGTTCAGCAAGCCACCAGACCCCGAAGAAAAAACACAGATCCGAAAACTCGCCAAAAGAAGCACCCTGGAACCCTCTCCCAAGACCCGATTGAATTTTACTAACCAGCAAAACACCGGCCCAGCTTCGTTTCAAGAGAAATCAAATCCATCGCCAGCCACATGCTGGCTCAAAAACGCTTGAATTCAGTTTCCCTCCTTTTTTTCTGGTGCAATGGAGGAAATGCCCATCTGCCCTCTGGAAGAACGGGTTCCAACCCCCAAACCGATCCAATTAGTTTTGACCCAGGATTTATAAACCTGTCCCATTATCAGGGGGGTGTTCCCTCCAAAAGTGGTTTATTAATTCGGGGCAACTCTGGGCTGTCCTCAGATCCCCCGCTTTTAGTGGGGTAAATGGAAATCCGACCACCAAACCAGCCAAAAAGCTCAGAAGGCTCAGGGTACCAGAGGAATTCGAAGCGAAAAATGGCCCCCTGTCCCATTGTTAGGGCCCGATCCAAATCAACCAGGGGTTTATTTCTTAGTCCGGGGTTGTCATTAGGGGGGACCAACTAGGCCGATGGGCAACCTGGTACCCCTCTCTGCTACCCCCTCTGCCCTCTGGTTCCAACCCCCAAACCGATCCAAACCACCAACTAGGGATTGCCTGACATATGTCACACCTGAGAAAAAAATAGAAGAGCAGAAACCCAAGAACTCAGCGAGGAGCCGTAGGCTACCGACGAAAAATGGGCACCGAAGGAACGACTTCCGAGCTGCGGCCGCAGGTCCGACTCCTCGCAGTTCTTGGTGACGTACTCGCCGTCCTCCGCTTGGCCGAGATAGACGGTGTACAGCGGCCCCAGGGCCGTCAGGAAGACCTGGCGGCAGAAGAAAAAAAAACGGGGGGGGGGGAAACAACGTGCAAAATGGGGGTGGGTCCAAAATAGGTTACCCTCAAAATAGGTTACCCTGGTAAATGGAAACATAGACTAAAACCTGCGGTCCAATTCCTGGTGGCTTAATTTTGACTCATACCGACTCATACCCCAAAATGAGCCCCTAAAGCTGTAGAGTACCAAAAAGCGGTGACAGAAAAACAGGGATCCTTACATGATACACTTGAACATTGCCGTGTAAATGGTGTTGTTGTCCTTTATTTTGGTGTTGAAAAAGCCATGTTTCAAATGGTTGCAAATTGTATCTTTTAAGGAGCCCTGCCAAAATGAGCCCCCAAAACTTGAGAGTACCAAAAAGTGGTGGGGAACAAACCCTTTTGGGGGAGCCCGGTGTATTTTCGAGTCCCTTCCCATCCGTGACATTCAACGGACTACTGTAAACCAAACGGACTTGCGGCAGGTGGGTTTGTTAAAACAACTCCAACACGGCAGTCCCTGCTTGCATCACATGACAATTTGCCAGGGACGTGTCCCTTTCCAACCAACAGAGGGCGTTCTCCAAAAAACAATTGAGGTGTGGAAACCTCAGACGTGTCTGAATTCACAGGTCATCCAATAAGGCGCAAAATTGAAACGAGTAACCAGATCGTGGGGAAAAAACGGCGTCAATGTTCCTTCCATTGATCAGCCCCCCTTCGAGTATCCTTTCCTTAAAGCCACCAACGGACCAAACCCCTTACGCACCCCCACCCCCCCGCAGAAAGCGAAAAAGCAAAAAGGAAACCCGCTCGCAAACATACACTTGGACACACACGCAAGCATACACACACACACACACACGCTCGCACACACACACACACAGCCCGCCGGTCCCCGTCCCGCGACAAGCCTTTCGAAACACAAAGGAAGAGAAGCACCCCAAGCCCGCGGACAACATCTTCAGGAGAAAAAGATACCAGCCCCAAGGCAACATCTCAAGCATCAATAACACCAAGCCCTAGAAGAACAAATCCAAGAAAAGCGCCCCAAGCCCCCGGGCAACAGTCCAAAGATGGAGAAAACCAAGCGCGTGAACAAGAACTCAAAGAAAAGCAGCCCAAGCCCACGGACAACAGCTACAAGCCGCAGACGACATCAAAGATGACAACAGCAAACTGCGAAAACCGAAACAAGTCACGTCAACAACTCAAAGCGGAAATAACAGCATCGACAAAACAACACAACAAAATTGGCTCATGGTACGG